AACTCAAGATTTGTGGTTAAAGATGAAGGAGTACTTACTACTTCATTGCAATCTTTGTTGGTCCAATCATATACTAAAGATTAAGAAAAATTACGTGACGTGGTAAATATTTAATTGTATTTATGATAAATAGTAAGTATAATTTTAAAAGTTTATGAACAATAACTATGTTTTGGGTTATGTAGTAAATACACAATATACATGCGCGTTGAGGCAGCTCTTTGAGCATTTTCGGTTGATAAAATTGATACATAATGTCAAAATACAACTCTTTTGCCTGATACGAATGATATTCAACTAATACAATAATTGTAGTTAATTATAATTATGCTTGTAATTACCCCTTCAAACTACCGTTATTTATGATTTTTTTCTCAAATAATCAGGAGGGATAACCAGTTTTTGGGTTTCTCATGAGTTTTTAGCCACCATTTGAAAAGTAAATGAAAAATAGTCGCACTTTAATGGAAAAGTAAAATTTAAACAAAAGTATCCTTACTTAAAACATGAAATGACGTATATAGATTTAAATTCCGTTAATTATTTCTTGATTTTATATTTACAAATGTTTGAACCTCATAATTATTATTTTTTTTGGTTTTGAAACTCTAGAAAATTTTAAACCTCTTTTTTGGTTTTGAACTTATAAATATTTAAACTTTATGAATAGTAAGTTATACATTCATTATTATAACTTACTACTCAATTTTAAATAATTTATTTTTCATAATTATCAGTGGACCTGATAATTTGAATTGTTTTTCTTTTTCTTTTAATGAATATCAAACATTGCTTAGTAATGAAGGGAACTACATTTTGCTATTTTCTTGAAGTGAAAATTTTTAGAGTGACAAAATTACTCTATATAATTTTTTTCTCCCCTTTTATTTTATACAAATTAAATGACTAAATTGATTGCAATTTGGAAGACAACTTAGCTCTAAATTGATGCATTACTTGAAATTGAAAATGAGAACTAATCTAAAAATTTCCTTAAGCAGAAGTAAATTAACTATTAAGAAAGCAAACAAAATCTTGAAAATATACCACTAAAGATGTAGTGAAATTGCAAGTACTATTTAATTTTTAATTAGAGGTTTCGAGTTTGAACCGTGAGTATATAGTCATCTTTATTAAGAGAATTTATCTCTCAAAATGAAACTTTCCGATGCGAATTCAGATTAATCAAACTTCAAAACAAATATTGAATATCAAGTGAAAAGAAAAGACAACCTTGAAAACATAGCTATTGTTCCTTTTAGCAAAATTTTGGTAATAGGTAAAGCTCATTCACCAACTAATTAATGATATATGAACATGAAAATGTAGATAAATGTTTTTTTTTGAAGAAAAAAATTAATGTTTATAAGTAAGTACAAAAATATTATCTCAAGAGCAATTAGATATAATCGAATAAAATACTATAAGGATGGAATAAGATGAAGTGAGAGTTCGGAGATAGCAAAAGTGGGATGAGATGGAGTGAGAGTTCGGGGATAGCGAAGGAAGATGATGTTGGGTTCTGAAGGTGATTAGGGCGTCATGCGGAAGCTTACAATTTGCAAATCATATAGTTGATAAATCAGCTAACAAAAAAAACTTATACTAAAAATCAAATTATTATTATATCAAAACTAATATAAAGGAAAACAATGAAACTTTAGAGAGAATAAATCTCCCCATAAACAAGACTCTTAATCGACTACATTGTGAATATTATTGTTATTGTGTTAGAAGAAACAAACCTATATTTATAGAGTCCTAAAACCTTTCCTACTAGAGTCCTAAAAGGAGAGAATAAACCAAATATGAAAGAATATTATATTTTCCTTTCAAGAAAAGTAAAAACATTTATGTAATGTTTTGCCTTTTCTTTAAGGAAAAATAAATATTAAATTATGGTAAGAAAATCAGGGCAAAACCCTAACAAATCTCCCATTTTGGCTGAATTTTCTTGACAAAGTTTGATCTGTCTTCTTCATTGCATGATAACCTTGTTCTTCACAAAATCTTCATCACCGTTACTTGCCATGGTTTAAAATAAAGTTTAAAACATATGGATTAAAAATGGGTTTAAAATATTTTATTTTTATTTTAAAAAATTGCAGCAACAAGAATGTTGAAAATATGGTTGAAACTTCTTCTCCACATGTAGCTCGACAAAAATCTTCATTATCATCAAAGTTGTTGCAAATTGATTTGAAACCACTTGAACCTTTCTTCAATCTTGTTGAACCATAGGATCATCGGACCATGGGATCGTTGGACCATGTGCTCTGATACCACTTGTTGGGTTCTGAAGGTGATTAGGGCGTCATGCGGAAGCTTACAATTTGCAAATCATATAGTTGATAAATCAGCTAACAAAAAAAACTTATACTAAAAATCAAATTATTATTATATCAAAACTAATATAAAGGAAAACAATGAAACTTTAGAGAGAATAAATCTCCCCATAAACAAGACTCTTAATCGACTACATTGTGAATATTATTGTTATTGTGTTAGAAGAAACAAACCTATATTTATAGAGTCCTAAAACCTTTCCTACTAGAGTCCTAAAAGGAGAGAATAAACCAAATATGAAAGAATATTATATTTTCCTTTCAAGAAAAGTAAAAACATTTATGTAATGTTTTGCCTTTTCTTTAAGGAAAAATAAATATTAAATTATGGTAAGAAAATCAGGGCAAAACCCTAACAGATGAGACACTAAACTTAAAAGGTCACTTATCAAAAAAAAATTCACTACTTCAATTATGTAAATCATTTTTCTAATTTTTTTTAAAAATATTTTTTGTTTTAAAAAGATCCAACATAATTTGACCAACCGAACATACAAAAAATATTTAAAAGCATTTTTCAAAAAATATTTCCAACACTCCCCTATTCTCATTATATATATTTTTTCCTATAAAAAATGCACATTTCGATAGAATAATAAAAAGACCTATCAGTGGGCTCTTCAAATCATGTATTACTTGTAATTTACTTCACTCTTCATATTTCTCATTTTATATTAAGATATTTATGTATATATAATGTTTCTATATTAAGAAAAAAATTTATGTATATATAACGTTTATCGATTACTTTTGGGTGATGTCTTTAAAAAATCAAATTTCGAATAATTTAAGGACATAATTGAATTTTTTGATTTTGTTTTGAAGCAGCTATATGTTGAAAGGTTTTTTTAAAAAAAGTTACTTGACTAATTAATTAAAGGACATTTTGAGCTAGTTAACTAATAATGAGACTTATATTTTGTCAAAAAATATAACGGAGAATAAAATTGACCTATTTCAAATAGTTCACATAATTTTTAGCCCTTTTCCTGGTTCACAAATAACCACATCTTAATCCCTACAATAAAAAAAAAACAATCAATCACTGTCTTAAATTTTTTACAATAATATTAAATTTTTAAATATTGGATAGTTGAAACTTGCGTGTGTAATCAAATACCATTTACATATCCAACCTTTAAAAAAATTGCGTTTGTAATTATTCTTTGGTATTTGCGCACACACATATATATGGCAAAAATATACTATATAATTAATATAAGCTTTCAGGGTTAATTCGTTAGAAATCTTAAAATTACTTTTCTTAAATCAAATGTATATCAAAATCAAAAATCAACTTTATTTCATATAAGATAAAAATAAAGTACGTATATATTCTATTTTTTCCCAACCTTCATTTATAAAATCATATCAAAATAACGTATTATAGTAAGTACTTTAATATTTATCGAGAGTATAAATAAGCTTAGCTAGATATTTTCCATCTTACCTTTAAAGAGTCAACTACCTAGCTCTACACAATTATTATGCACGTCTCTCTTACTTGTTATCTACGGCAAATTAATTGGATAATCTAATAAAATAAATTGACACAAATTTATTAAAAATATTTTAAGTTCTACACACGGTTTTAATTTGTTTGATTTGTATGTTGGGATTATAATTTATAGTATGAAGATTTAATTTAATTATAATAAAATTATTTAGTAAATATATTTTGTCCAAATCTTCTTTTTAAAGTTGAGAATCTATCCAAAATAAAATATATAAATGTGATGTATATTATATAGAATCAATTAAAAAGAGAATAATAATAACAACAAATAATATGATAACTAAAAAAATAACAAGGTAATATTAAAATTCTTGAAAATTCAAACAAAATTTTATACTTTAAAGTTATTTTTTCACATCATCAAATCCCACTCTTCATCCATATCCTTAGACAAAACGTAAAAGAAAGAGCCAGAAAAAAAAAATGCAAAAAAAATCCTCAATATAATCCCCCTTTTCCCTCCCATATGGATCAAATAAATAAATGAAAATGACCAATATACAAAATCTTATAAGGGTACAATATGATGTAGTCTTACTCTTATCTTACACTAGAAAGACAGTTTTCGAAAAACTCTCTATTTAAAGAAAATCAAAATTGAACATCAATAATAATAACATACGTAGGGTAATTAGATATAAAAAGGATAAAATATAAAAAAATTACCTAAATACACAATTTATTTTACAATATTCTTTAAAATTTCCTTTCATTTGAAAAAATTACAAAAACTTCCACTCTCTCATATTCTCGGATACATCACTTTACGCAATGTATAAGGACATACGCTATGTACCGATGTGTTGAGTGATGTATCCGAAATGAGGACGTTTTGGGATGTATAAATTGTATTTTGTGTAAAATTTGGAAAAGACTAGATATTAGATGTAATTAATTCTTAGCACTATGTGTTTTGTGTAAAATTTTTCAAAATATACACAAATCTTATCTCCATATTTTTGGTCAATTATTATTAAAAAGTCAAAACAATATTTTCTTTGACCATTAATGTTTTCTAAATATTTATAATATTAATTAATTTGACCAAATAAAAATTGAAACATTATATCACAAGTTAACTCATTTATTTCCTTCTATATAACACCTTATTTTTCTTCTTCTTCAAAATGTGTTCAAAAATGTCTTCAAAAAACAAAAAAAAATGGAATTGCATTACTTCCAATGGAACAGCAGGCTGTGGTTGCAGCAAACCCAAATTATCAGAAATTATTCAGCCCAAACCCAAGCCCAGGCCCAAACCCGAGCCCAATTCTCACTCATCTTCAACCTCGAATTCAGATTCACCATCTCCGCCGATTTTGCCGGCGAAGATCGTCGGAAGTGTGGCCGTAGTAAAGGATTCCGATGATCCGTTTGGGGATTTCCGGCAATCGATGTTGCAGATGATAACGGAGAAGGAGATTTACTCCTACGATGATTTGAATGAGCTTTTGAATTGTTTTTTACAGCTGAATTCGCCTTCTCATCATGATATTATTGTTCAAGCTTTCATGGAGATCTGGAATAATGGGAAAAATTGTTTCCAAGCAGGATCCTAATTTAACTTTTTTTCTTCTTTTTTGGGTGAAGTCTTCTTCGAAAATATTAGATAATAACATGTTGGGATTGGAGAATCTGATATGACTTATGAGTAATATATATCCTATATTTTATGTTAGTCGGATTCTTTAAAAATGTTGTATGAATTTCTGAAAAAATAGTATTGGATAATTATTATATTTTAAAATTTATGACCTTAATATTAAAAATATGAGTAACTTATAAACTATATCTTGTTTTTTTTTTGGGTTTAATAAATCTTTAATTATGATGAACTTTTATATGTTTTCCTTTCTCTAAAAAAAGAAGAAGCTATATTGAAAAACCAAATAAAATTGTACGTATCAAACAGAGTATATATCTAATTTTCCTGATATTTTGCGGTAAATAAATAATATATTATTCGTCGGTTCAGTTTTATATATTATCAGTTTGATTTTTTATTTTTAAATACGCTATATTAATAACCAAATTAATAAGATGTTTTTATCAGTTTTTGGTCCTTAACGATTCGATTTTCGGTTTAACCAATAAGAAAGTGCGCATAAAATAATCATATGACTTCTCTAATAATTTGGTGCGACAAGACAATAATATAGCTTTACGGAATGCTCATAAAATATAAACAATAGTAACTAACATGAAGGAATTATTCAAGTACAACGTCCACTTTTATTTGTCGTGTTGTGTTTTACGAAAGTCAATTTGACTAATTTTCAAAATTAAATTAGATTGCATCAATTCAATATTTTAAATAAAAAATTTAGACATTCAAAAACTATATGAAAAGTACTATAAATTGCAATTTTTTACATATCGATATGATGAAAAAATACATAGTAAAATGTTAGTCAGAGTTCTTATAGTTTGACTCTAAAAAAGGAAAATATGACAATTAAAAATATAATGTAATTGAAGGCTAAAGAGCAAATGTAGTAACTAATAATGTATTGATATTAAAATAGTAAATTACTATTGTCTTAATGAGTCTCGGTTTACCAATAACCCAATATCAAAAATTTAATATCAAACTTATGACTCAATAATATTTTTTATAAAACCATAAAAAACATTAACTTAATAACTCAATAATATTTTTTTGATTTGATTAATTGATCGATTCGATTTTTATACGGTCCGAATCTATACCAATCATCTTTTGTTTAAATTTAAAAAGAATTTATCTTTTTTATATATATGGTGTACATTTGTTATGAAGACTGTGGTCCAAATTTTTTTAATTAATAAGTAGTAGTTGTGTGTCTAAGTTTCATAATTTATTTCTTCACTTATTTTGCTGTTATGTTTCATTTTCACATGCATCATATTCCTTCTTAATTGTCACTTACATTAACCATGAAAAAATGTGGGACATAGGGTTTAATTCCTTTTTATCCATAAAAGGGTGTGTTTGTTAGGAAAAAATAATTTTTTAAAAAAATTAGAAAGTAAATAAGTAAAATATTACTTTTAGAATATTTATATATAGTGTAGGTGGCGAGTGAGGTTCGTTGTTCGAGTATGGTGGGGTAGGATGATCAAGGGGTGTGGATTGATGAGTAGATAATGAATTTGAAATGACATTTATAGAACTTGTTTACGTACTCTTATTAGAAAAAAATATTTTTCTTTTTTTTAAGGAGCTTGTTATCTTATCAAACAAAATCAAAACATCAAGAGTTCTTCTTGAATGCATATTATAAAAAGAAAATATTTATACTATCTTTTGTTTTGTTTTACTCGACACAAATTTTAAGAAAGTATTTATTAGGAATTTGTTTAACTAATTATCCTTATTAATACCATGCTTTGGATACAAATTTTAAATGCTAATACTTTATATAGTGTTATTAAATTATAAGGGTAATATTGAAAGAAACTAACGAATCTCTCTAAATCGCTAAAATAAACACGTAAATAAGAAAAATCTACTTTAAGTAAAAAATGCCAATTAAACTGAAACAGAGTGAGTAATAATTAACAATGTGAAGGCATTTTTTTCAAGTAAAATGGAAAATCTATTTATAATGCTAGTTATAAATGTAGCCAAACAACCTCGGTTCAATTTTGCAAAATGTGGCCTAAATTGTAGTATCGCGGTTACGATTGACTCTACATGATTGAGAATTTAGGTCTGAAGGTCTCCTTCGTAATAGCTCTCCTAATGACCAATAAACGTTATTTCTATCTTTCTTTTCGTAGACCGATGTGCAATACTGGGCTTCTCCATGACCACAAAATCTTGGGCTTTTCCTATGGAGCCTCTCAAGCCCAAATCTCATACTCCTAGAAGCTGAAAAGCCCATTTCCTAAGGGACAAATGCTTCATATTAAATGTGGCTCTATATATTTATGTATAAATTATAGGAACCACATATTATAAGTACTAAATAACATCCTATCCCTTCTAGTTTTCTATTTACCAAAAATCCCTTAAAAATGATGTTTACGGGATACATAGCGTTGTGCACGAGATACATTAGGTTTGATATATTCCACATAGCGAGATACATAGCGTTGTGTACGGGATACATTAGGTTTGATACATTCCACATAGCGGGATACATAGCGTTGTGTACGGGATACATTAGGTTTGATACATTCCACATAGAGGGATACATAGCGTTGTGCACGGGATACATGCGGGATACATAGCGTTGTGCACGGGATACATCGCGTTTGATACATTCCACATAGCGGGATACATAGCGTTGTGCACGGGATACATGCGGGATACATAGGTAAATAAGGGATTTTTGAAATTTTTGAAATAAGTAGGGATAAATGGATATTAAGGTAAGTAAAGGAGTGTAGTTAAGTAATTTGTCCTATATTGTATAGGGCTTATTAATCGATACTTACAAACTCACCACAATCTTTAATTGAGTATCTCTTCGAGATCTCTGATTAAAAGTAGTAATTTTGTTCGTAGTATAGTATTTTATTTGTAAATACTAAGTTAGGAAATTTACAGGTTTTTCATTGCGAAAGCAAATTTCTTTTCATCAATTATGATTCGATAGAAATTCTCAATAAATGGATAAATTCCTTAGTTTTCCACTTAACCTTAGTTATTGTTTATTTCCCACAAGAAAAGATAGAAAAATAATCTGATCTTTCTACACCCATAATAATATATTCTTAGAAAATCGATTAGAGTTTAAGTGAAATGTTAATTACTAGTCTATTTAACATTTTTTTATTAGTGGTCCCGACCAAATAACATTCTACAACAAATAGAAAACAGTTTACCTTCAAAATGATCTTTCGATATAAATTCAAATCAATCAAATTTCAAATCGAATAGTATTATGTTTGAAGGGGAAATATTTTGATGATGCCTCATTTATCAAAATGAAATATTCTAAACTCCAATGTAATAACGTGGGAATCCCCGTGCTTCCTTGTTAACCTTATCTCTAATAATAATATTCCAAAGTCCAAAAACGAGTATCTCGATACTTCAATGAAATGCTCTTTTCGTTTCAATTTATTTGGCGTAATTCGAAGGATGAAGATTAAACTAATTAATGTTCTCTATGAATTCAAACATAAAATTTATATATTTATAAACTACGGTAAAATAATATAATATACGCCACAAATAGTTAATAATTTAAAATGTTTTTTAAAAATTTATCCCTTAAAGCTAAATGATAATTAACACAAATAAATGGAAACGAAGCAGTATATTTTACCTTATGCGTTGGCTAAAACCAATAGAGATGTCACCCTCGTCGCTATAGACTATAGTGCATGTCATTATCAATCCAATTTGTTCATGTATCATGGAATTTTAACTACTTATCCACGTTTTAATTAATTTTTATGTCAAATCATATTAATAAATATAATTATTTATCGGATAAATAAGCACACCTTCTATACGACTAGATAATCTCATGATTTTATTATAAATTTAATTTCAATTTCTTATATTATCAGATTACTTATAGATAGTATTTTTAAAAATATATATAAACATTATAATTTTAAAATAAGATAAAATATTGAATACCACGATATTAAAATTGATCTAATGACTAAAAATTTATATTAATAATATATAACTTAAATTCGAAAATCTATTGTGTGGTGTGAAAAGAAAAGACAAATCAAGCCACCAACAACTACTTGCATCATTCTCAACTACTCAAAGAAAGTTGAAGTCTTCCAAACCATTACTTTGTTTAACAATAGTTTTAGTTCCTTCAACTTTGTTCTACTTGGAGTTGACTATAATTACTCGCTTAGTTTTAAATTATTTGTTGTGTTTTTCTCTTATATGCTTTTTAAATAAAAATGAATTAAGATTTTTTTTACTTTATATTTTATTTATGTCTTTGGAAATAGTTTTAAATTTTTAACGAACATATATTAAGTGATTTTTACCTATTTGTTCTAGTTTTGGTGGAGTCCAGAGGCAAAGCCAAAATTAGCAGTTTGGGGTTCACAAGTTAATATACATAATTTATTTAATTTTCTAATATAAATATAAGGTCTACATAAAAGCTAGTGGGTCTGTCCGAACCCATGAACCTCCACCTAGCTTCGCCTCTATGATTGACAGAGTTATATGAAGTCTGTTGTTGATGAAAGGTAATATGTATCTCCTGAAATTAGTCAGGTGGGTGTAAACGGACACGACATTACATTACAATTATAGAAACAAAAGAAGATATGATAATCTCTCTTTATCAAGTATTAACTCTATTGAAGTATTTGTAGTCTACATAAATGATTACTATTAACTACTAAGGATAAAAAATAATTTAAAATAACTATTTCAAAAGATCACGGCATATAATTTGAAACGAAAAATGATAATAATTCTATACGTCCTTTATTAGTCTAGTACTACATATATACATTGTGTTAGCAAAGTCACCATATGTGTTCGCATTTTCAAACGTCGGCCAACAATATTGGTGGCTAGTAGTATATTATCTATAGGCAATAACAAACGTGAAACGCTTTAAAACTTTCCGACGCGAATTTAAATTCGTATCAGCTTTACCCTCGGTATGTGACTTTCTTTCTGGCGTGAATTTGAATTTAGTCAAACTCCAACATCGAGTGAAAAACAAAAATCAGACATCGAGTGAAAAACAAAAAAAA